ATTTATAAAACAAAAAGACTCAGGTAACAATGAAACACTCAAAGCAAAATTGAGTGAAGCAAAAGAGTCGAGAGAGTAAAATCCCATTGAAATAAATTGAGCATGGAGACAAGAAAGACAACATGAATGCCGAGCCAAAAACCCTTTGTGTATCTGTTACTTTATTTATCCAACCGTACCCAAGCCCTGTTACAACCCAAAGACATCCAAAAGTGTGTGGAATCTGTTTGTGTAGTGAAGGTAGAATTCATTCAAAGTTAAGAGTCGATATTGCATACATTAAATGTTGAGTGCAAAACACTTTAACCCCGAGAGATTTAGTGAGAAGTGTGAAAAAGCTTGTAGATAAAGAAGTATTCTGATGTGGAAGTGTAGCAGATAGTTCGGATAAGTGAACCAGAATCTTGACCGGGAAGGTGGAAAGTAGGTTGAGAATAACATCAGTTATATTATGGTAAAAAGGAATTTCGGGGTGACTTTGTTGTTTCCTATTACATTACTTGAGGACAAGCAATGAGCTAAGTTTGGGGTTGTGATCTTTCACCATTTCTACTTTGTTAGTCACTTATTCGGTGCAAATTCATCAAATATGTAACACTTTGGTTTGTATTTTTATCGTTTTGTTTAAGTTATTTTATATTTTGAAAATTTATCTTTGTATGGTTTTCATTTGAATTTTATGCCTTCTAGATGATTTTGATGGTTTGGTTTGGTAGTTGTTCGTAATCTCAGGTGCAGGTAAAGATCTCTGGACAATTTGTGCAAAGGCGAAGAAAATATGGAAGCTGCAGGGGCCCTGACATGGGCACCCATGTCACCTGACATAGGCTATGTCAAGAGAAGAGGATAACACATGTGTTAACACTAGGAAGAGGGTGACACGGGCGCCCATGTCACACGATACGACCTGTGTCAATTCAGCTGAGCAAAAAGGGTGCAAAGGACATCATAGGTGATGACACGAGTGCCCGTGTCTGGTGACACGGCCCGTGTCAGGTGACACGGCCCGTGTCACCTTAGGCACTAGAAATTTCAATTCTTGGGATTTTTAAGTGTTTTGGAGCATTAAGGGTATTCTGGACATTTAGCACTTCTGAGAGATAACCTAATACTATAAATACCTGATTGAGAGAAAGAGAGGGGGACTTTTTGAATGACTAAAGAAATTAAGACGATAGAAGAGTGTATTTTGAAGAGCTTGGGAAATGGAGAACCCTTCATGCACGATAGCAGTTGAAGGTCGACGAATCCATAATTCTCGTAATGTCTAACTCTATTATGCGTATTGTTTTTCTTTTGAACACCATGAGAGGCTAAACCCCCCAATGCTAGGGGGTTTCCCTGATTTGTCATGACAAGAATACTGATCTCTTTGTTTTATTCAACACAATAGTTCTTCTGCATTAATTTTATTGTTTAGAATAATTTATCGTTTTTCCCTATCGGACCAATAGGGTTTCACTTTTCTTGACACAATAGAAATGGACAGTCGCGTTAAGGTCTTCTAAAAAATGATATTATAGAAGATTTCACCTAGGACTAGGGCAATCCTATAATAACCAGGACAATTCTTGATCATCAAATGCTTGGCTTTATAACAAAATTGAATGGACATTGAAATTAGGGTAGAAGATCAAAGCTTTTCACTAAGGACTTAGGGAAATATATACTTATAAATTGGTAATTGAGTTTATGAACTTGTTGAAAAGATCAAAGAGTGAAATTAATCTTATGGAAAATCGTATGCTCACCCCTAGCATATGTTAATTAAACAGTAAAAAGTCACATTTTACATTCGCGTATTTTACACATTTGCAAGGATTTACCCAAACAAAATAAAATGAAAGTTTTGTTCAATTGAATTCATAATAAGACTCAATATTTTCTATGAAATCCTCGTGATCTATACTTGGGGTAAAACCCATTATTACTACATCGGTCAAAATAGTACACTTGTTATTTTTTTGATCAGAGGCGATCAAAATGTTGGATCCCTAAGTAGAATCCTTGCCATCCTAAGAGAAAATCAAAATGAAGGATCCTAAGAGGAATCTTTGCCTCCATAAGTGGCAATTGAAATGATGGATCCCTAAGAGGGTCCCTTTTTTCCCTCAGAGGCGATCGGAATTCTAGTTCCCAGAGAAGGATCCTTACTGCCCTGAGAGGCTATTAAGATGTTGAATTATTAAGAGGGATCCCTGTCACCTTTAAAAGTGATCAAAGTATTAAAACCTAAGGTAAGATCCGTAATCTCCCCTGGGTAAGAAAATCGGAAGGTACACGTCCTACCTTAAGGGAGAAAAGTGTCAACAAGTATCTCTAATCTAGGTTTAACACAATCATGCAGAAAGAGTCACACAAGAAATTAACAATAAAAATAAATAATGTAAAGATGCGTAAAGGGCGCTGCTTTTTAATTTATTACAATATCCCATATAAGGGCTAAGAAATATAAACAAAATGCCACTAGGATCCAAGGAACATCATGGAAAAACCAGGCCGTTAACTCTCATCCTTAATTTCCTCCTCCATGATGGAAACCTGGTCTTTTTCCCGCTCAAAGTAGATGTCAAAGGTCAACACTAGCTCTTCAATAAACTCTGACACCTCCACCTACAATTCCTTTTTGGAAAGGAGACTGACATCTAGAGACTCCTACAATAATTTCTCCTTGGTGGCGACCTCTGCATCTTTGGCCTTCACATCCACCAACTTTTCATCCCATGTCTCCTTTTCTTTCTATAGGGCCCACATCAACCTCCAACATTTGGTATAACCATCTTTATATATCTTGAGCTTTGCCTACGATTGTAGAAATCGACTTCGATTGGAGAGCCTGGTAGTCATTAGGAAACTCCTTGGAGAAATGAATATCATAACTCATGAATTGAATGGTATTAATGCTAGTGTCACTCTATAAAGTAGGAGGAGGTGGTGAAGCTTTTCCTTCATGCGGCGTCTGAATTCTTTCATCTCTTGGAACAGGCGCGACGATACCAACAACTTGGAAATAACCCTCTTCTAGCCTCTGAGCATTCATATTGGGCGAATCAGGAGTTGGTTCCTCAATTCGCCTCTTTCTTCCTTTGATGATAAAGCCCTATAGGTGACTCTAGGGCTATCAATCTCCCCACGAGCAGCCTGCTTCTTCTCCTATCTTTTCCTCTTTTCCTCCGTATAAATACTCATCGTCTGATTTGTAAAACAATGTATAGTGGTCACATGTGCTATTTTAAAATACCTATAAAATAAACAGGTCATCCAAAACTTACCTAGGTAATCGACGAGATGATCGCCACATTTCATCCACATATATTTACTGTGCGTAAATCCATGACCTAAAACTTCCTCAAGAGGAAAGTCATCCTCACCTCTTCAAGGGTAAGGTATTTATTGTCATGTCGGCCAATTTCCACATGCCATCCGTCCAGAATAAGGGAAAAAAGGGGGCGTCATCATCCTCCAATGATGTGAGAGAACGCTTTGGCCCGCTTGCACGAGCGAACCTGCCTCTCCAATTTTTGTAGTGCTTGGAGTAAGGCGTACCTAGAAGATTGACTAAAGACACCCAACCGCCTTTCATAGATCTAATATCATAAAATGAGAAAAAAATCATATAGTATGAGTAATCTCCAGATCTGATAAACCATCTCAAAATCCTTGACAAAACCCCAATTATTATGGAATAACTGGGATATCACAAAATTGAGAACCTTCAGAATCTCCACGATAAAAGGGGAAAAGGGGAGGAGAACCCACATGTCCTTGATGAGGGTTGAGGGGGGGGGGGGGGGGTAGAAGTAGAAATAGGGGGAGAGAGGATCAAAAGAGACATGCATGGTCACAGTTTCTGACGGTGAACAAGCCTCCAAGATAACCATTTCCTCATCTTCTGAAGAGAAACTCCCACTTCTGTTCGAAAAGGGAGGACATATTCATTAGAAGTATAATAAGGTTCAATGTCCTTGGAATTCTTAGGCACAACAAAGGGGGAAACCATTATCTTTTTGTTCATGGGAGAACAACAGAACAAAAAAAAATCGCCACCACCATCACAATTGTCAAAGGGATGAATGTAAATCCTAAAATACTACAATTACACATTAGTCTAAACCTTATTTCTAACCTCTCCCTACAATCCCTACTTTCTACTACTACAAAAGGAAATAATAAGATATTCATACATGAAAGGGTTGTAAACAAAGAATAAGAGATCTGTATGCGATACCCTAAAATTGACGACCCGTCATAATTTCTGAGCGCCATTTTTATCTCAAATGAGTATATTAGCCCAACGATTATAGAGTGAGTAAGAAGTGTAAGAGTGAGATTCTGAGCTTGAATCCCACCTTTCTCTTTTTGTAATATTTGTGTCTCATTTTTCATTCTTCTAACTTTTCTCTAATTTTTACTTATTTTCACTTTTCTATTGTATTACTATTAGTCTTAGATTTTTTTTATTTAATTTTAATTTTATAATCATCATATTTATCTTTAAAAGTTTACTTGGTCAGTTTTAAATAAGCTTTTAGAATTTTTAATTTTTTAGGAGATATTAATTTTTATTTAGAAATTCTTATTTATTAGGCTTTACATGTTAATTTTTAGGCATATTTAGTGTTTATATTTTAGTTAAAATTTTATAATTATTTTTTTCACTAGGATAGAGTTTCATTTTTAGAGTCACATGTTTTAATAGGTTTAGTTTTTGTTTATTTTCATTTTTTTAGTAAAGATATGATTCCGTTCATTTTTAGCTTTTTCAACTTATTTTGAGTAAAATATTGGAAAGAAGAGGATCTGAATATCACGCTACATTTTCAATTTCTATATCCAAATCAATTAAGCAGGTGAATCAATTGAATCTGAATTCAATCTATTCATGAACGATTTATGCAAAATCATTCTAGAAAGGATTCAATCAACATAAATAAATCAAGTCTCTCCAATTTTCTGTTACAAAACAAATCAAATCCCTCGTTGATTCTAATTGGAAAAGAATGAATAAATCATTTCAAATAAGCTTAAACTTGTTCCATAAGACAATATTGAAGCAATTCCAATCTCAATCACCTTCAATCAGCATTGAAATAATTCAATCAAAATTTAAGTCCTTCACCCTAATTTCAAACTCTAAAAGCAGTCGAGTTTCACAGAATAGAGGCACCTATTTTTTGAAACCTGAATTCTGAACCGAAAAAATATCTACAACTTTGCAATCCAACCCTTACCAAAGCTCTGAATCAAAACGAAACTTTGAGTTTCACACTGAAATATCAATAGTTTTGAGCTTAACCTCTAGACACCGCACCACCTGCCCAGCCGCACGAATCTGTGATCGTGAGTACCGTAGCTAGAGACGTCTTCGAAGCTCCCTCTGAACCGCACGAATCTTCACCGTGCCGGACTCCAATCGCTCCAAAACCATCGCAACTTCTTCGCCATCGGTAACCGCTTACTCTTTTGCATCCGTTATTCATTTCATTGTGATGTGGTTTGAAATTGTATGATGGGTGTTGTCTTGATGATTCCGTGAAATGTTTGAATGATCAGAGGGTTGTATCTTTAGATTTATAGATTGTTTGTAAAAAAAAGAAGAGAAAACAAGAAGATGAACAAGAAGCAGTAAAAAGAGAGAGAACCAAAAAGAAAGATGAAAATTATAGGGTCTCACTCTATCTCTCCGTGTGCGTTGTGTGTTTATTGGTCCTTCTTTAAATTTGAGTGTATTTTTGTTTTTGTATGATGTGGTACAATGTTTCAAATAATAAAGTCTTTATTGTTTTGGTATTAAATGTTAAAATTCAAAAACATAAAATCTTCAAATAATTGTCTCACATGACACTCAAACCTTTGTCCTTCCTCTTTAAATACCAATGCCCTTACTACTGAGTTATATAGACTCATTTATTAATTTTCCAAACGATTTTTATATATAGTATACATTTAGAACATGCAGTATAATATTTAGAACATATAAACTGAAATGAATTCATCTATTAATCTTCCATACAATATAATTTGAATGAGCTTCCATTTACTTTACTAGTTGGTCTCATGTTTTAGGCAGAAAATAATTGACAACCACTTGGTGCTGTCTTCTCCATCAATACCCAAAAAACGCACGCCCTTTTCTTAAATGCTTTATCATCCACTGTGCGAGCAAACATCCGTCCTCGACCATGGATTCCGACAGAGATGCTCAAAAGAGGAATCAAATAAACTATTTTCATCGTCTCTCTTGTTTTCTCTCAAACGATTTCCTCAATGAGGTAATCAAGCTCTACAACATTTTTAGAAGTAGGATCAAAACCTTCACTCTGTGTAAACCCGCATTTTCCAAAAAGAGTTACAACAACAATTGTTTCACAACAACATCCACCATCCTCCAAAATCCATAACCACGAGCAACAACAACCTACAAGCATAATCAAATAAAACATGCAAAGTTTAGACAACAACATATTGCAATATAACCATATCAGTGCTCGCAAAGTAATATCGACATGCACATGACACATCTGATTTTCATAAATAGAATTAGATAAAATGAAAGCAAAAGAAGTGGGAGAAGAGAGGAGAATCAACACGCAAAGAATAAGAGCAAAAAACAGTACCTGAGTTGTTTTTTCCATTAGCCAGAACCTTAAACTCGTCGGACTAGCTCCGACCATGTATATTCTTCTTCTTCGCATTTTTATACCACTGTGATTTTCATAACTTGCTGAGCACAATCCCTATAATATTTGTTTGAATTGCTTGATATTAATCATTTAATTTCAAACTAGTTAGGCTCTCTGAATAAAGTTTCGAATTAAATAATGTTGGTTTTGATTTTGAAATTTCGAGTGGAGTATTTGGGATTAAGAGGAGGAACTGCATGGTTTGGTATATCTTATTTCTGGATTTGGACGAATTTTTGAAATGGTTGAATTTTTCTATAATGGAGGATTCGTTTGAGAGAGAGACGAGGGATAGTTTGAAAGCATACAGAGAGAGAATCTGATTTTCTTTGGTCACTTACAGAAGATTGAAAGAAGTAAATATTTGAGGGTTGATTTACAAATGAAAGCAAGTAGCCCGGTGGTAAGGGCGTTGGTGTTTAAAGAGGAAGGGCAAAGGTTCGAGTCTCATGTGAGACAATTATTTGACGATTTTATGTTTTTGAATTTTAACATTTAACACCAAAATGATAAAGACTTTATTATTTGAAATAAAAAATAATTATATTAATATTAAAATGACATGGCATTGACACATAAGCAAAAATACACTTAGATTTGAAGGGGGGACAAAATTCAACGTAAAACTTAAAAAATGGACTAAAATAGTGATTTTTATAACGAAGAGATCAAAATCAAGAAAAAAGCTAAACAGGGGGATCAAAGTTGCAATTAAGCCTATTATTTTTATTATTTCTTCCTCTTCCCTCTCTCATCCTGATACGTGGTAGCCGTCGATTGGCCGAGTTGGGAGGTTATTTGGGGAACCGACGACGTTCTCTTTGGGTGTATAAGGTTTCATTTTTTTTCTTCTTTGCTTTTTGTCATTAGGCCGGTTCTGGAAGTAATTTTGTGGTTCCTGATGTTATTTTTTGTATCTTAGCATTACTAATATGCACCCTTAGTTCTCCCACTTCTTTAATAATTTTGTTTTGTTTTTTCATCTTTATTTATTTTATGTTTAGTTACAACTTAATTAATTTTAGTTTTAGGTTAAGTTTAGAGTGATATTAATTAGTTTTTATTAGTATTAGATTAATTTATATTTAATTAGATTATTTTATATTTAATTTATTTCTTTTTTAATCAAAAGTCATTAAAAATCACAAAAATATGCTTCCCTTTAGCTTAGGTTAAATCGTCTAACCAATTCAAACCTTTTTTTCAATAACATTAACATAATTTAAACCAAGAGCCTTTTAAAAAAGGAATTAAGTAGGTCCCTTAAATACGAACTAGAAACTAGTCTAAGCCTCTCCGTGAGCGCGCTACAGGCATAAGTTCATCGCTCGAGGGTGACCTCACCATGTTCCATAAAAAACACTAACCTAACACATACAAACTACAATACTTTGATTCTTCTTTGTTCCCCCGAGGATACGTAGGCACATGGAGAAACCTGGCGAGCAATAATTAAAATATTATCTCTTTTTGTAAATAATAAATAAAATAAATTTAGGTATTAGGCAGATAACAAAACTTTAGAAAACACACTTAACCCTAGATATAGAGAAGGTTCCCCTTGAATATAAGGGAGGTTATGGGTGCCTAACGCTTTCCCTTCACTTAACCGAATCTCGAACCCACCTTAACTTCAACTTTAGGGGTTTCCCATTAGTTTCCCTGTCCTTAGAATGAACAAACGATGGTAGCGACTTCATTAATTTAATCAGGTGTTACAGGTGGCAACTTCACTAGGGACTACTAAAGAGAGTCAAGCCTGCCCTCTAGCTTTAGGGTTGTTTTTTTTGTTTTATTTATTTATTTATTTTCTTTTATTTATTTCTTTATTTTATTTTATTCTTTATTATTATTATTTTCCATATGTATATATCATGTTGGGTTGGGAATTATCATATTTGTGCAAATCTAAAACCCAAAGCTTGGTGGAAAACTATAATTTAGGACGTAGACCCATTGTACTAGCTGGTGTGATGTCACATCTCTCAAGGGTAAGAGGGCTACACTCAGGGTAGGTATAATCAAAGTTGTTATCATGGTAGGGCTCACCCCTCATCATGTTGACGATCTAGATTTGATATGCGACCCTGGGGACCGTTTTAGAACCCATTTCACTTAAGATGACCTTACATGATTAATCAGTGAGATGCACATCTCAAGGGTTGGTACTAATGTCTCTCCTAGAAGAGGCTTATCCCTAAGGGTATAGTATACGACTTTAGGATCCAAAAACCCTAGAACCTACATGTGAAAGGGATTGGGTAGTATGAACTTAGAACCAACTTCTTGTAAGAGACTCCTTTAGTTAGGCCTTATATCACCTTACCCACTTGTCCTTAATCTTGAACATTCATCATGTCATTTAAATATTTTTGCATTCATTCATTTCAGGGGATCTTAACTAAGATGGATTATTATTAAGCTTTCAAAAAATGGAATCCAACAAGAGGAAGACCATTCAGTTTAATGTGAGAGTACCAGATGTCGAGAATGTGAAAGCCTACTTCAGGGGGTTGACAAATCACCAAAGGAAATACATTACCTACAAATATGGTAAGATCCTAGATCATTTGAGTGCCCCAATTCAAAAATAAGCTATAACAACTTTGGCACAATTCTATTATCCTACTCTAAGGTGCTTTCATTTTCAAGACTTTCAGCTAGTCCCTACCGTTGAAGAATTCAACAAAATCATGAAGTATCCTAATCCTACCAAGGGTCCTTATAGAAGTCTAGGGTATACTCCTACCTTAGAAGACATGGTAACCATCTTGATATTCGTGCTTCTACTTAAAGGCCAACTTAAATAATCGATGGGACTTTTGAGGGTTTTCTAACGATTTCCTTGGAAAATAAGCCAGGAACTTCACAACCTCCAATAAGTGGGACTCCTTAAACACTATCATGGTCCTTATCGTCTTTCGTTTGATCTTGTTCCATAGAAATGAAAACCTTGTTAATGTAACATCACTAAGTGTATTCTTGACTGTAAAAGTTGGAGATGAGGATCCTATGCCCGCTCTCCTTGCCGAAGTTTACTATACCCTTCATCAAAGACATGCTAAGAATGGAGGAATGTTACAATGTTATGCTCCTTTACTTTATAAGTGGTTTGTCTATCACATATCCAAGTATATGTATGTTGTTGAAACTATAGATAAACACAAATGGTCCTGATATTTGGTTTCACTCTACAATGCATCTAGCATATGGTACCCTCAAATCCTCCACCGTGAAGATATAATTATGAGTTATGGGGACCTCCTAAATGTACCTCTCATAGGTTCAAAAGGATGTGAAATCTGAAACCCGAATTTGGCTATTAGAGAACTTGGTTATTGTTGCACCATAAAATTTTCCCTATGAATTTCAACCACCATTGACTTATGCTTCACATTCATTTTCATGTACTCATTATGTCATGACAATCACAGTCATTCATATCATTGGTCCTCAAAGAGCATGAGATCACAATTCTCTTGAGATTAGGGTTTTGATAGGAAGAGACT